TCTTGCAGCAGTGCACAGCCGTGGTGAAGTCCGAAGCGACACAGACGACGCTGAAAGGACGACTAGGGTCTGACAGCGCCAGTGTTGGTGCATACGGGAGATTGGTTTTGACCCCGTCAAAAGCCTTTTCATGTTCGGTGTTCCAACACCATTCCGCATCCTTCTAAAGATGGAATCTTCTTAAGAAGAATAGACAATGGCCGTGCCATTTCTGCGTAGTTATCACCGTACTTGTGTAAGTAGATGGTAAAGCCAAGCCAATCTCACAAGTCCTTTTAGTTTGTTGGAACCGGCCAGTCCACAGTGGCCTTGACCTTAGCGGGGGCCGCTCGAAGGCCACGCTTCCCAATGAAGCACCCAATAGGGAGTTCTTCTGTGCCAAAGATGCACTTGTCTACAATAGCACAGCTTTTTCGTGCGCATGCACTCGAGCACCGCTCTTTAATGAATTATGTGGTTCTCTTCATCCGTCCTCCCGTGCTCCGCAAGCCTGTAGACGAAGATGTCACCGAAGTTTGTCGGTGAGTACGCCCGGGGGGGGAACTGGACAACTTCGTCGCAACATGATTGAATGTTGCTGGTGCATTATATATCCCTTAAGGCATCAACAGCCACTCCCAGAGCATGCAGCTTGGAGTACTCATCGAAATATCAAACGATCTCATGAGCAATCGGTAATACCCATCAACCAAGTCGAGTGCACTATGTTTTGTACAGCCAACCATATTGTTCTGGAAAACATTCTTTCTAGGATCGGCGTCTGTACCGGAATAATGGCAGCGTTGAGCTTATGTATGCGTGAGCGATACGCAACATGCTGTCCGGTTTCCGAACACGAAACATCGGTGTCGAATGGGGAGACTTGCTCTCACGCACCATTCCTGTGTCATGCTTCGCACGGAAGAAGGCGTCAATGACGTCGAATTGGACCTTGGGAAGGGGCCATTGGTGTGTTATGCAGTATTTTGTCTTCGGAACCAGGTCGATCTCATGACGCATACCTCAATCCGGAGGTAGGACCATGGCGGGTCTTTATAGACGGCGTTTTGAAATACCTTCACCAAAAGATAGTACGGATCCGAGGGATCCATCAGGATCAACGATCCGCTTTGTACTCTTAGCGCCCTCTTGGTGTCCTACAGGACAGCTTCATCCAGAAGCGACGACGAGCTGATCTCCTCGTCCGGTAGTATAATGACCACTCCGACTAAGTCGCCTGCTTTCAAGACGCCGCCGAGCTCTTCGAGAGCCATCTCGTCCAGCTCATGAAGATTATCCACCGCAGGAATAGTCTCGAGGGTACGTCGCCATATTCTTCTCCCGTTAGATCTTTGGTGAGGGTGTGTTGCTGTGCGCTATCGTCTACGGTAGACACATCCTGGGTCAGGTTTAACGCCAGGCGTTTTTCAGCTAGCATACGGCCTCGATGTCGCGTCCTCACAGAGGTTGTACGTCTCGGCGAGGCCAGTGTTAATACGCACTCAGCGTCTTCCAGTGTTAGCCCCAACTCCTGTTCCTGTTATTAACAACTTCCGCGGAAAAGGTGCTAGCTCCGCAGTCTTCGTTCAGTGGAAAACGTGCCACTCCACACTAATCTCAACGGCCTTGCCCAAGATGCCCCAGACCTCGTCCGACCATGCAACTCGTGGCATGCAGCGACTGCTTCGAAACGTGAACGGTGCTCTGCCACTTCACGTTCAGTCCGCGAGCCATTCTCGAGACTCATGTCCGATACAGCTTCGGTGTTCAACAACTCGGATACTCTGATATTTATCACATGACCGTCTCGGTCCGAGTGCCAGCGCCAATTTCTTTTTTTGCCTCCTAGTAGAGGTGGGTTCATGACTCACCAAAGCTCCACCAGGAGACGTGCGCGTTGTGCCCATCATCTTCGACCTACAGTCGATCCATGGCCCATGGTGCTCCAACCATGCCATACCAAGGATGCGGTCGTACCCCATCCTCTAATGCTCATGCATCTGACGACCATTTTCTACGCATAACCGAACTTTCCACGAAAATACAAAGAACACATCTCATCTTTATGTGAGATGTTAACCAATGAGTGGTCTTCGAGGTACATTTTTGTCTACATGTTCTACATAATACGAGTCAAAGTGAAATAGCTTCCACAACAATACTCTGTAGTTGTAACATTAGCGCATTTAGAGATGATGTGGGTTGACGCCGATCCTCAGTACTTACTGCGGCAGAGTACGCGGCCTGGACGAATGCATTGGGCTAATATGCTACTTGTGTGTCTTATAGCCGCAATCCTGTGTACCTTGTATCTCGCTTGCTTCCAGTATCGTCGCTGCTGTTGTCAAGAAGAACACAGAAGGGAGATGGCACGCGTGCCTAGCGCGACTAGTATGATCAGCGACATGGAGGAACCGCTGCTTAAAGCATCAGATTTCAATGAGCAATCGCTGACAATCGAGTCCGATTCTGTAGCTCTTTACCAGCCTTCTGCGCCACCCTTCAGTTTGGACATTTAGCTTTACGAATGTTTTAGATTGGCAAAATTAAAAGACTGCGCCACAACACTTTGTATTAACGTAGTTAAAAATTATTATAAGAATGTAATGCGCATGGCTGCTACTCTTGACATGGTTTTCCTACTCTTTAAATTATTAAGAGTTGGCACTGGCTTTGCTGGAAATGGCGTTTGCATCAGTATTAGATTCAGGTGCGGGGGACGTTTCATCTTCTTTCGTCTCTTCCTCAGATCCTAAAATTTTTTTCATCTCGATTGGATCTTTTTCGGTTTCCTGCTGCTGCAATGGCGGCATTGAGGAGGAGATACTTGACTTTAGTTTGCATTGGTGCATTAAGTAAAGCTGATATGAACGAAATTAATTAGCATGTCAATGTGCAAACTAGAAAGCTCAAATCCATAGCTTACCTCGTGTAACAATTGGTAGAGTAAATCAACTTCAAGGCCCATGGCAATAGTCAATCCTTTTGCATGCTTTGTAGGATCCAGCTCCAGATATACCACCTGAATGCCGAAAGAAGTAGTCTGCTTGACATTCAAAACATCTTTAAATTCAACCACAGTGGTATGTGCGAACACGGGAACCATAGTCCGATATATTAAACACCTGTGAGAACGAGATTAGCTTAATTGTCGACCCAAGTCACAAAAACTTACCCTGACGTCACATGGAGTGTTACAGGAATACCATTAGCCATGCAAGAAGCCTCGTACAGAAGCACGTTGGATCTCAACAGTATCAACGCGACGTTACGGCGTGGTTTTCAGAATACATGTGAGGATTGGCAACATACCTGTCACTTCCTGGAGCTTGGTGAAGATTTGACTGTTGGGCACCATCTCTGCAAGTTTCACAAAGTCAGCTATAGCTTCAAACAAGACGACTTTCTTCAATGCGTCTGAAATGAACATACACTTCTATAATCGCTTGTATTGCCTGGGTTCGTAAATGTTGCACAGATTCCACTCGGATACTTACCTGCTCTTGCTTTTCTTTGAACTTTGCTCGGAGCCTAAGTTCGCAATCCTCTTTGCAAACTCGCCAAAGATTTTGCACAAGATCTGATACCACTTCGCCATATATTTTACTAGGCTGGCTTGAAGTAGTTTGATCGATTAAAGACGTAGTAACATCATCGCGTAAAGACTGAAGAATTTTTATATCACTAGGCAGGTCGAGCTTATTTTGGCAAGGATTCTTCTCTCCCTTGAAAGCTGACACATCCTCCGGAATAAACAAAGCTTCAACATCTTTGGCCGGTGAGCTCGCATTACTTTTCGAAGATTCAGATCGTGTTTTTGTACCCGTGAGCTTTATCCCGTACTTCTTTAACGTCGGCTCGAGCAGTCCAATCAGCATTGCACACGCAAATTCTTGGTCAAAAGCATACGATTCCAATGGAATACAAAGATCTCTCATATGTGCCTTCATTTCACTAACCAGTAATGTACAGACAATTTGTAATATTCAACACAATATAACCAAAATCGCTGTACCTGCTAAACGCTCTCTTCACATCTGCAATATATCCTTCATCCAACTCTGCTTTGTCAACTACGGATATATTTAAAAGCCATTTAACAAGCATAAATTGCACGACTGCATAGTTTACATACCTGTATCCATTGAATTTTCAGGCGTTGACATGTACAAATCGCTGAGCGACAGACACTGACTAAGCATGGTTGCTTGTAAAGCTCCCAATAAGTTGTCCAGCACATATTTATGCGACTGCTTGCGGTCCTGACCCTCCCACAACGCATGCCTTCCTGTAGACACCATTCCGCTCAGTAGATTATTCTCCGCCGACACCAACGCGCAAATGTTCACCACCCGCAACTTGGACGGAGATACGTCAATGTGCACATACACATTTAAATATGTAATTGAGTCGGAAATGCCGTGAGCTACTGACTCCTGCATTATCTTTTTGCGAAACAGCATTGAGTTTGTGTGTTCCTCCATCACCAAAAGTCCTTTGGACATGCATACAGTCGCAATAAGCTCCTTGATAATATCCCACGAGCGATCAGGACGTATCTGAGCCTCTAAAATTGTCCACTGGCTCAGATCTCTCTGGACAGGCATGCACATCATCCACAGAGGAACAAGTCGTTTGTCTTCGGACTTAATGGCCGCGCAGAGTTCATCAACATCAAGAAATCGAAAATCCGGATGGTCTTTCACAGCACTTTTCACCTCCAGTTCCATAGGGTCAGCGTCTCGTGTCATCTTGCTCATGCCGAACTCATCTTCCTCGTCCATCGTGTTGTACATTTCTAAAAATAAAAGCTGCATTTTTTTTGCTTAGGATACTTTAGGAGAGAGAATTATACCGGTATTATCATTATAACTCGTCATTAAAAAGCGATGTCGCAGTAAGGTACGAGGATAGGATTGTGCCATCCCGGTTGTTAGCTGTTGCTAAAGAAGTTTCGTCTTTTCCGGGACCGGGCTATGCTGTGAGGACAGGTGGTAGGATCTCACCACACGGGTGTTTTCTGTTGGGAACAAGTTAAGTCGTACCTAAGTAAACCAGGAGGAGCTATGAAACTCCCAACGATTTGCATAATTAGCTAGC